AACAATATGGTCAGGCAAGCTATTCCATATCGAAATTACTCTTTGGGTGAAGAAATGTTTCCGAATATCAGTGTTAAATTTACCTTTGGTCAACTTCCATTTGTGACCCCGAGTTCTACTAACAACACTTGGTCGAAGGAATCCTACATAATTCACTTTGTTAATCCCTTTAACATATTTAAAGACCTCAATCAGATCACCCCTAAGTCTCCTTTTCCTAAGACTAAAGAGATTAAGGATCTTCAGCCTCTTCTCATAGCTTTCATCTTTTATACCCAAAATTAGCTTAGTGGCTCTTCTCTGAACTTTTTCTAGAGCCTCTATATCTTTCTTAAAGTATGGTCCCCAGAACTGTACACAATACTCCAGATGTGGTCTGACGAATGTGTTGTACAAAAGAAGCATCACCTCCTTGGATTTGTACTCAATACTTTTGGCAATGTATCCCAGCATCTGATTGGCTTTTTTTTAACTGCTACGGCACAATGGCTAGAGCCTGTGAGGGTTTGGTCAACCATCACTCCCAGATCTTTTTCATGTGGAGCACATTCCAGTTTTAAACCTCCCAATTTAGTGAAGTAATTCCGTCTAATGTTTTTATTACCTACATGTACAACTTTGCTACATTAAATTTCATTTGCCACATTTCTATCCAATTCTGGATTCTATCCCAATCATCCTGAATCACTGTAGTAGACTCTAAACTATTTGCCAAACCTCCCAATTTAGTATCATCTGCAAATTTAACTAATTTGCTCTCAGTATTCCTATCAAGGTCATTAATGTAGATGAGGAACAGCAGGGGTCCCAACACCGATCCCTGGGGGACGCCACTCCCCACCATACCTAGCTCAGATGAGATACCACTGACCACCACTCTTTGTGTTCTGTCCTGCAACCAGTTTTGAATCCACTTCAGAATACCTCCTGTAACTCCAATGGAGCTCATTTCAAAAATAAGTCTCTTATGCGGTACTGTATCAAATGCTTTCTGAAGATCCAAGTATATGATGTCATAAGCCCTGCTCTGGTCATAAGTCTTGGTGGCCTCTTCAAAAAATCCCAGAAGGTTTGTCAGGCATGACCTTCCCTTACGGAAACCATGTTGGCCATCCCTCAAGATATTTTTACGTTCAAGAAATAAGTCCAGCTCATCTTTTATGATAGATTCCAGTATTTTGCGCGCAATGCAAGTTAAACTGACTGGCCTGTAATTTCCTGGCTCAGTACGGTCCCCTTTCTTATATATTGGAATTATACTGCCCTGCTTCCAATCATTTGGTATTTCTCCAGTTTCCATCTGGAACAGATCCATCAGACCATCTGAAGATGGCGGATAGCGGCTTAAAGATGATCGCACTAACTTCCCTGAGCACTCTAGGATATAAGCCATCTGGACCCGCCGCCTTATCTGCCTTTAGTTTATGCAACTTGTCTAATACTTCGTTATCCCTAACCTCAATTTCCGCTAAATAATCTTGAGCATTTGACATGCCCTCGAGCCGAATAAAAACCTGCTCTGAGGTAAAATTCTCAACAAAGTAACTGTTTAAGGTATCCACAATATCCTTGTTATCATATAGCAGTGATCCATATTTATTCTTTATGCACTTAACCTCCTCTTTGACTTTCCTTTTTCTGCTACAGTACTGAAAGAAGCGCTCAGGATTAGTTTTTGCCCCTTCTGCAATTTGCCTTTCATACAGTCTTCTAGCATTCCTCAGCTCTTTTTTGACTGCAGCTCACATTTTACAGTAATCAGCCTTCGTGTTTTCATTGTTATCCTTTATGTACATCTTATAAAGATTCCTCTTCTCCCTCAAACTCCTACGAATAGCTGTGGTCATGCACGGAGGATTCTGCTTTTTCAGCTTACTTTTGGACACCTTTGGAATGAATTTGCATTGTGAATGAAGTAAAACCCCCTTAAATCTTTCCCACATCTCATTTACAGACTCACAGTCCAGGAGTGTCTCCCATTTTATTTCACTTAGAAATGAGCGCATCCTGTCAAAGTATGCTCGCCTAAAATTGAAAATTTTTGTTTTTGAAGACACCTTTTTAACTTCCCATGAAATATCAAAATTAACAGTAGAGTGATCACTTGTCCCAAGTGGCTCCAGTACCTCAACATTGCTAATTCTATCTGGGTCATTACAGAGCACCAAGTCTAAAATTGCCTTCTCTCTTGTAGGTTTATTAACATACTGCACCAAAAAATTATCATTTATAACATCTAGAAATTCTTCCTCCCCCTTACCCTGTCCTTTCACCATTTTCCAATCGATAACAGGGTAATTTACGGCTCCCATAATAATAGTCCCTCCTCCTCTACAAGCTTGGGTAGTCCTCTTAAAGAGCATTTTATTGACAATACTGTCCAAAGCTGGTGGTCGATAGCATACTCCTATGTTTAAACAAGTCTCGCGTTTGCCAATGAGCCTGACCCAGATATCTTCACAGGGCAAGGAATGTTCAATTTCAGGAATTTCCTGCACATTTATGTTTTCGTTCGCATAGAGTGCTATACCCCCTCCTCGCCTATTGCATCTATCCTTCCTAAAGAGCTTATAACCTTCTATATTATATTCATCTCCATCCTCTTCACTAAGCCATGTCTCTGTAATCCCAAATGTTCTCAATCGGTGAAAGATCAGGACTGCAGGCAGGCCAGTTCAGCACACGCTCTTCTACTACGAAGCCATGCTGTTGTAATAGCTGCAGTATGTGGTTTTGCATTGTCCTGCTGAAATACACAAGGCCTTCCCTGGAATAGATGTCGTCTGGAGGGGAGCATATGTTGCTCTAAAACCTTTATATAGCTTTCAGCATTCATGGTGCTTTTTAAAACATGCAAGTGTCCCATACCATATGCAGTATGCATCCCCATACCATCAGAGATACTGGCTTTTGAACTGAACGCTGAAACAGGAGGGGTGGTCTTTCTCGTCTTTTGCCCTGAGGACATGACGCCCATGATTTCCAAGAAGAATGTCAAATTTGGACTTGTCTGACCACAGGACACTTTGCCACTATGCTACAGACCATTTTAAATGAGCCTTGGCCCACAGAACACGGTGGCGCTTCTGGATCATGCTCAACAATGGCTTCCTTTTTGCATGATAGAGTTTCAGGTGGCATCTGTGGATGGCACGGCAGACTGTGTTTACAGACAGTGGTTTTTTGAAGTATTCCTGGGCCCATTTAGTAATGTCAATGACAGAATCATGCCTGTGAGTGATGCAGTGGCGTCTGAGGCCCCGAAGATCACGGGCATCCAGTAAAGGTCTTCGGCCTCGTCCCTTACACACAGAGATTTTTCCAGTTTCTCTGAATCTTTTGATGGTGTTATGCACTGTCGATGATGAGACCTTCAAAGCCTTTGTGAGGAACATTGTTTTTAAAGTATTTCACAATTTTTTTACGCAAGCCTTCACAGGTTGGAGAGCCTCTGGCCATCTTTACTTCTGAGACTCAGCCTCTCTAAGACATCCCTTTTATTTCCAATCATGTTACACACCTGATGCCAGTTAACATAATTACTTGCTAAATGTTCCTTCAGCTGATTCTCTAAAATTAATTGCTTTTTCAGCCTTTTTGCCTGTGTCCCAACTTTTATGAGACCTGTTGCATCCAGAAAATTTGAAATGAGCTCATTTTGTGGATAAAAATGTAAAATGTCTCAATTTCAACATTTGAAATGTTATCTATATTCTCTTGTAAATAACATTGGCTCATGTGATCTAAAAGTCATTGCATTTTGATTTTATTCACAATTTACACTTCGTACCAACTATTTCGGAATTGGGGTTGTACAAACAACATGCAACCAAATGATTAAAAGTGTGAAGACCTGAGAGAATAAGAGGAAAACCAGATGAGGGAAAATCAATGTTTTGACCCCGATAATAAAAGAGATGTTTGGTGCATTAACAACCTCATCTTCCAAGGAATAGGTTACATGTTGACAGTGAAGCATTATTGGTGTAAGGATCATGCTTTTGGGTTGCCACCCTTCAACAGTGCATTTCAAAGGAAAGCTAGTTTTAATCAGAGCCCAGCCATTGCATCCTCAAAACGGATGACTCCTGAAAGTTTTGTTTATACCAGTGCTTCTCAAACTCAATCCTGGGGCCCCCTTCTGAGCTGATTTTCGTTCCAACCGCAGCAACAATTCTAGCATTTTAAAACAATTAGTTTAACTTTGGTGCACTTCATGCTTAGAGCAGTTATTTACCCCGAGACACATTTTGACTGAAATACGCATGCCGAGAAAACTTAAAATTCCATGTCCACATTATGATGTGTTGGGAACAATGCTGTGGAGTAGGGATAACATGGAGCCAATCAAATTCAAGAATCAGTCTGTTCCTGGTTAGTTCTTGTGACCACGTGTCCACGGTTACACCATCTATGAGGTGAGCAAATGATGGAGTCAAACCCGTTTTGTGCCATGTTTGTGTTATCACTAAGTTCAAGGTAAGCATTTTGAAAAACTCAAAACACTTGTATTCAGCAACCTAATTTGGAGCTTACGGATTTTCACTATGTCTAATTTGATTGCTTTATAAATGTTGTTCCCTGAAGTTATTTGCAATATAGAAAAATAAACATGATATGCTCAAAGGCAACAATTTATTTCTGTGGTGTAAGAGGGTGAAGAACTCCTTTAGCACAAAATGCAAAAAATCAGCAGCTTGTTTGATTCCCATGACTGCAAACCAACACACACAGGAAGGTCCCAGCACACAGTCAGATAGTCACTGCCTTATTCATCCATGCAACCATTCTCTATACCACTTTTTCCTCACTCAGGTCATGGGGGAGCTGGAGTCTATACCAGCTGACTACGGGCAAAAGGCAGGAGCACACCCAGTACAGTTTGCCAATCCATCACAGGGCACACACACCATTCAGATCTATGGGCAAGTTACAGTCACCAATTACCCTGACATGCCTGTCTTTGGGAGGACACCCATGCAAACACACAAACTCCACATAGACCCAAGGCTGGATTCGAACCCACAAGCTTTTTGCTGTGAGGCAAGTGCTACCCACTACACTACCGTGCCGCCCTGCCTTATTCACTCGTGGCCAAAAATCTGAAATTACATCATTTTCCCCCGAGGAAGGACTTCTTAAACAGCCAGATCAGAGACATTACCTGTAAATTTAAATTTGCATTCAAACTTGTGACCGTGTCCGTACCACAAGTAAGCATATGTGAACTCATAACACTGAGCATGTAGTGCTAGAGTTAATGGTGTTGTTACCACAGTCGTTATCATAATATTTGTGGAAAAATATTAAATAACTGCCAATATTTACTCCTGGGGGTGTAGAATATTAAAAGTAATGGTGTTGCTGCTACAGGCATTATCCAATATTCGACCACCAAAATTAGGACGACCGCTTGTTTTCACTCCACGCGGTAGTTTACAAAACAAAACGTACGGAAGACACAGTGTGGGGCAGGATATCTCAGAGATGGGCTCAAAGTGAGAGGGGCCTCAAAAAAAGCCTCAGGCTATAGAATGCTCTGTCTGTATCTAAATGAGTCCTCGAAAGCAGAAGCAAATATTTGGACGTTCAGATTCTGAGAAGTTTCACAAGAAGCATCTCAGCGTAGCACAGACCATCATTCCTGGAAGAGTGCTGAGAAGCAGAGAGCTCGTGTGCTGTATCTAAGGCTGAGAAATACACCACCGTCTTTTGTTGTCGTTTTCGAGGAATGAACAGGGAAGATGCCTTTTACAAAAGGTTTGTCACTTTGTGCCCTGGTGTTATTTGAAAAAACAAACTAATTAAAACACATACATTGCAGATGATATTCATTTATATTACAGGCTCATCATCAAATAAAAAAAAAAAAAAAAAAAAAAAATGAAATCAACGTCACATCAGAGGTCTGCATCAATTTTCCCTTGTGTCCAAGAAATGCACTGGAAATTATTATTCCCCATCTGTTGGTCTAACGAGCCAGTCAAGTGAAGGCTTTTGACCGCCGTCATTACTCTCAATAAAATAGTTCAAAAGGACAAAGTATCCCGCTATCGGAATATCCGTTTAATTTGATTGCAGATCTTACACAATCAGGCTCAGAACAGCGAAACTTGGCACTTATTTCGCTCTTCACCAAAAAAAAAAAAAACAACTGAGACTACACACACACACACACACACACACTTCACGGGAGGCTGACATGAAGCAAAAAAGCTACCCAATAACAGTAAATACACATCAGGGACGGAGCTTCAGTCAGTATACAGTAAGGAATGGACAGATCAGCATCGTTTCACGGCACAAATCTGCAGCTGCATTCACGGTCTGCAATAATGTCCCTTGGCATTCGTATCAAAGACAACATATTTATGAACGTAAAATGGTAATGTGTGACATTTTGCCAAATCTTTTGGGAAAGGTACCCCAAGGGTTTCGCAGCGCTGTTATCGTTTGCTTTCCGAAATTACTGCACCCTTCTCCGCCTAAACAAAGAAGAATATTGCACTCACTTCGTACATTTACAGAATTTTACTCCATGCTCTGACACAGCTGTTCCCAAACTCGGTCCTGGGGACCCACTGTGTAAGCTTGTTTTAGTTCCAACCACACTTACAATCCCAGAATTAACAAGCTGTTAATTTTTTTTTTTTAATTAATTGTTTTTCAGGCCAGAGAGATGTTTCACCCTCTGAAACCACTGAGACAAAGATGGATTTGCATTCCATATTTAAAAGTCCTAAGTTTATATTGTGCCCATTTTGTGACTGTCCTAGTAATGGAGCCAAGCCAAAGTGATAATTAAAATCAAGACTGCAGTGAATCAATAAGCTGCAAATCATGCTTCTGAACACAGGTGTTCAAGTTCTTCCCAAATGGTTTTTCCTAAAACCAATCACAAAAAAAACAAACAGGTTTGACTCATAATTTACTTTGTCTTTGAAATCTAAATCAGCGAATGGTTAGTTTTAGAGACCACATGCCCAGTTTCAACAATTAAAAGTCAATCTATTCAACAATTTTGAGAGTTGCAATTTTGATCTTTTTATGCAAAAAAGTAATTTGTAATATGGTGCAATTTTAATATGCAGCACTCCAGCTCTTCAGCAATAGCCCAAGTAGCTAATTCTGACATAATGTGGCTTAAAAGTGTAAAAACTCATTAAAATTCTGGGATTGTAAATGTGACTGGAAGAAAAACCAGCAGACACAGTGGGTCCCCAGGACCACGTTTGGGAACCCCAGCTCTGACAAACATGGCAGCATTGAGCCAGCCCTGCATGGGAGTTAGTGAGCGCGCTCAGTCAGCAGCTGTCTACCAGTGGCCTGACCTCGCCCCCGCGAGGCCGCAGGCTCGTCTTCCTGTCACCGTGCCAAGGCCGTGAGAAATCGTCACCATGAGTCAGCATGAGTAATTCAGTGATACAGCGCTTTATTTACAATCAAACTGCTTCAGTTTCTCTTTTGAACACACATATATATATATTTATCTATATAATATGCACGTATACACATCACTTGGAATTTTTGTTGACTAACAAACTCGCCATACGTGCGAATCTAATAAAAACTGCGTTCTCTGCCCGTAAATTCAAGAGGGGCAGTTCTCGTAGTCAACGGATGGTGTGTGTGTGCACGTGTGCATGCGTGTGTATGTGTGTGTACGTGGGGTGGGGGTGAGGAGTATTTCTCACAGACACAAGACATTTCTGCAAATGACCTGCACTGATATGGAGTACAGTGATGAGGCGCTCTCACTGAACACAATGTGAACACAGCTTTGACTGGAGAAATGCAGGTTATAGTTCCAATGCATCTGCAATAAAATCAGCGCAGCTCTTAGGCCCTTGAGCGAAGTCCTTACCTCCACATTGCTGCTGTAGTTGACCCCTGCTTAGTCTATTCTAATCAAAGGAAGTTGCATTGGGTTAAGTCAGCTAAAACCAAAAATGTCATGTAAAGTAGCCACAGGCAGTGCAAAATGTCATGCCAGATATACACGCGTCCCAGTTAGACAAGAGACTATTTTAGGTTATAAACTATTGTATTTTTTGGGAATTTTTTAATTGGAAGCTATGCACCTGACAATTGGAACAACACTGAATTAGGCCGATGGGAGTTTATATCATCGAGGCTATGGGACCCACGAGTCACATCTAACAGGGATGAGTCTATCCGGGCACGTCTAAGTAGGACACGTAAATCTGGGATGAAACCGTGCAAAATGCATAACTGGCCGCGATCTTCAGGGCCATGAATTTGGCCATCTGAGATGCAGACAGAGTGGCCATCTGCACCTGAGAGTATTTAAATTATGACCGACTTACCTCCGAGATCACTGAAGATCAAGAGTAGGGGACCCTGCTTCTGCAAGGCCATCGCCCTGCATGTTTCAGACGCCTCCATGGAAAATACTTCCGACTTTCTCTCTGTACTGTGGTCACTTGTATAGTGGGGGTGAATGTTTGAGTGTATAAAGCCTATTTAGTCTGTTTTACATCCTCAGTAGTCCTGTATAAACACTCTGTCACACTCCTCTAATCTAACCTCATTGGGCCAGGGAAATTGGGGGGGGGCTATTACATCTTGATTGTTTAGGAAGAGTCCCTCTTTATTTCCTGCAAGAACACTAAGCACTCAATGTAAATTTACACAGCTATATTTTCCATTGATCTTTTGGTTTAAGGGGGGCTTTGCGGAGGGGCTTGCAGAGAGAGCTTTGCCTTCTGTGCAGACGTGGCCACATCAGAGTCATACAAGGTTACCAAATTGTAATAATGATTTGATCTGGCTTAATAAATTTTCAGTCTAACTGCAATGTTGTGATTTTTGAAGAGAAAATTGAACGACACCTCTCTGCTGTAACACACTCGATTCAAATGATCACAGCTCGACAGAAGTTCGATAGCGAGGTAGTCATTTGATTCAGGAATGCTAGATCAGAGATAGTCTAAAACGTACAGGGCTCCGGATCTCCAGGAGTTAGGATTCCCGGCACCTGTTTTAGACAGTCGAACCAAGAAAAATCTAGACGAAAACAACAATCAGCGAACAGCATCAAGGCTTCTGTACGGAGAACCGCATCAAGAAACAGAACTGAAACCTGGTTCTGAAAGCCAGTGCAATGTTTTGCGAGACAGAGGGCACAATCTGTCTTTCACGTAGGTGGAACCTGTCGGGCAGAATTTGAGTGAAACGCAGGTATGCAGACTACGCTTCCCATGTGCTGAGTCACAGTGGGGCTTCGCAACCACCTGCATGAGCTTTCTGCTCGTCAGTGAACCACAGAACGGAGCCGCTGTCTGTAAGTCCTAAACACAGGTATGAGACCTGCACAATTACTCAGGGTTTTCATCCGCGCATTCTGACTGAACAGAGGCACAGGCATCATCAGCTCACCCTTAATGAAACTGCCGCGTCACTCCATGCGAGCCGACCGGAGCGAGTGCTTTTTTCTCTTGCCATAAAGACCCCCCGGTGCAAATCCACTCATTTCAGGTGAGCTGTTACTCACAGCACACTCAAACATGCACTGAAGTCTTCCACATGCTTTTCCTCTTCTCAACTTATGAGTCAAGCATGCGGGTGAATTGGGCCGCGAATAAACCATTTTCCGCGCCAGAAAAGGACTGAATTTAACCTAAAGAATATCATCGCAAAATAGTCATATTATACTGAGCAAAGCTACAACTCATGCAGCTTTCACAATTTAATAGAACTGCACAACAGTTTCCAGAATTATAGGCATATTCATTGGATCAAAGTTAGAAAACTGTTGAGAAGTATAGAATCATCTGTAATTCAGCAGAGTGAACAGGATTGTATATTGCTATTACCTGATAAAAAAAATGAATGAGACCGTTGGTCAAAATATTTTTTTAATGACATATTGGAAAAGTACATTACAATGTGATGCAGCAATAACTCACTCAGGTGAAATCTCGGCGAGTCGTTGTTCTTCGATCGAGTCTTCTCATCGCTTTGTTACCTAAACAAAGAAAAGACCCCGTTCTGATGGGTAACCACCACCCTTTGAGTTGATTACATTGTGATTATAAGATCCTCGCACTTC